AACTTGTCCCGTGAAGAGGAGACAAGCAAACTGCTCACCAGTAAATCCCGAGTGCTGGGAACAACGTAAACTGAGAGCTGAAGGTCCCACTGAGCCAGAGCCTGCTTCCAGTCCATGCAGACTCGCAGAGCCCCCAGTCCCACAGGAGGGCTCTGAGCTGCTCCGCCAGAGCCAGCTGACCCCACAGACCCCGGGTCCCAGGATGCACCACAGCTGTCTTTCCAGAAGTCGTTTCCAGCCAGTTGCTCATGCGGCCCTGGGACGCAGGCTCACTCAACAGGTGGCCACGCCCACACTCCCGGTTCTACAACCCCCCACTTGCAAACACTGACCTCTATCAGCTTGAATGTTGTGTCCTGCACACGGCCCTCCTGCTGCCCTGGGAAGGTGGATTCCTCTTTATAACCTGTCCATAAATGCCGTGTGGCCTTCGTCAAGGGCTCACCCAGGCCTGGGAAGCACCCGGTACGCACACTTCACCCAGACGTTGCTCTTGTGTTTCAGGAGCGGTGAGGACATGGGCGGAGGGGGCACATCGGGCAGAAGCAGCAGCCACCGCAGCACCAGAAACAAGGCCCACAGCTCAGAGCCACGGGGGAATCGGAGTCCCACTCCTGAGGTCAATGGACAAACTGTGCGATCCCACAGGACTGTCATTTCCTGGGAAGGCCACCGAGGCCCAGTTCCCAGGGGCACGGTCCTAAGCAATGCGGTCTGCGATGCGGAGGCCCAATTTCTCAATGTCTCCACCCTCAGTGTCTCCACATTTGACCTGACCGGCTACACCCACCCGGGCAGAGCTGGACGGCATTTCCACAGCCAACGCTAAAGATCTTAGCTCGTCATCTTGTCAGTCCGGGCTGCCAGGCATGCGTCTCCGGGGGCAGCTGCGCATGTAGCGCAGGTTCCATGTCCCGCATCCTTCCTGGAGCGACAGCCTCTCGCATGGCCCGTGCATGTGCCCACGCGTGGACACAGCCTGCGTCTCTCTCAGGGGACCACGCACCAGCACCGGAAGCTGCGCTGTGGGTGGGCAGCGCATGTGACATCTTTACGGTGACCCAAGTGACCCCAGAGAGCTTCCGAGCCCAACCCTGACCTACTGAACTCGGTTTCCCAGTAAGTGACAAAGCTCCACTCAACTTCATTCTACTGCCACCTCTCGGTGCAGCTCAGTTAGGGTGTGGGGTCTGCTTACTACTAACCTACTAAGATTCTTAAGGAAAATATACAGCGGAGAGGTCCGTGGAAGCCCCCAACCCCCACTGCAAGTAATCAGCCAAACAGTTCACCCTGGAAACAGCCTCTCCCGACATCTGACTTTCCCAGGCCCCACGTGAGTAGCTCGTTATTAATCACCTGACTTTGACTAGGATGGGAGGTGGTATGTACTGTCCCACGTATTAGGGAGGAGTCCTCAAAGTGGGGTGAAGAGAAAGATTCATGTTTCTCCTGGTACTTTTTCTTCACATGCTCAACAACCGAGGCCTGGTTTGGCTGGCTGTTAGCAGTACAACGTACCATAAAAAGAAAGCTGACAAAGCCACACAGGGTAAGACCTGCTCTAGCAGGATTTACCCCACAACCAGCTGGAGGGTCCCCGGCCGTGCAGGTCCGAGCACCATGGAGCAGGGGGACGGAATGTCCTGCCCGCACTGCGCCCCTACGAGAAGCGAGGAGGCACCCAAGCTGACCCAAGCTGTCAGCCACTTGCCTCGGGCAGCCTTGCACACTGGCATGCAGACCCCGCGGGGCTTTCTCTGAGGGATCTGAGGACCCCCGTTGCACACTGTGGGTCCACATGGAGACTATCATATAAGGTATCCTCATGGTGCACAGGTTAGGTGTTGGACTGCTACCCAAAATGTTGGCAGTTCGAACCCATCAACCAGTGCTCCGGAGGCAGACAAGCCAGTCCGTTTCCCCAGGACACAGCCAGAGAACACCTGTGGGCAGAGCTACTGTCCCATAGGGCCCGTGAGCAGGAATGAGCAGGGAGTGCATGGGCAGCCCACCAGGTAATGCATGACACACCTATAATGATTAACCAGTGACAGGTGGTTTAGTTACATTTTGAAGGGGGGAGGGTGTCTGTCCCAGACTATTTTGTGCTTTGTTTTGTTTGTAAGAGAGCACACCATGGCTCCTCTCAGCCCAGAATCAGTCCTCTTCCGGCTTCCTGTTGGAAGTCCACAGGAGAGTAAAGCCCTTGCCCCACAAGCAGGAGACGTTCTGAGTTCCTGGACTAACACCCTATTTACAAGAAAAGCCACTGAACCCAAAAGTCCATGCAGAAAATTTTGAAATTAAAATTTCTTCGTTTAAAAAAAAAAGGAAGGTGGGAGGAGCCTAGGAAAATCGTGAAGGCTACCTGGGCACCAAACTTCTGGGCCAGGCCATCGTACCACAAGAGCAAGGGTCTTTCTGGGAAGGGGGCCCCACTGGGCGAAGCTGCCCCCCAAGCCCTGGACACAGGGACAGGGTGCGTTGCTCTTGCTCCGTGGGAAGGGACAAGAGGGGCTGGGGTGTTCCTGCGGGTACACAGCTACACAGGGCGACACCAACCCAGCTCTGGACCACCTGCCCAGGGTGCTCTCTGGGGCGCAGCCAAGGGGCGCAGGCTCACCTGGCACAGGCTCCTGTGCGCCCTCTTCGCCACT